CTTAACATGTTGAACTTTTTATTCTTGTTTTAGGAAATATACATTTATACATAACATGAGTCTGTTCATAACAGGATTTAGGCCTTGATTCTGATATACACTGTAACTTTTCCCACAGTGTGTATGTGCGTGTGTGCATATATATGTGTATGTGTGTGTGTATAATTTTTTGACTTGGCTATTGGTATTTTTCCCCCTTAAGAAGAAATTATTTGTAGGGTCATTAAATTCATCACTTTCCTTTTTAGAAATGGCTTTTGGATTTTATGTCTTAAGGCCTTCCCCAATACAAGGTTTAAAAATAATTGCCAATATTTCCTCTATTTCTTTTATATTTTCATATTTTTTAATGTTCAAAGCTTTGATTTATTTGGAGTTAATATACAGTATACAGTATGAGGTACAGATTTTTGACTATTTTTTTCATATTGCTTTCCTGTTTATCCCGACATCACTTGTTTAAAAGTTTGCCTTTACTGATTTGAGATGCTTTTTAATATTGTATAAAATTTATATACTTATCTAGGTCTATTTCTGGACTTTTTATTCAATGCCTTTTTTTCTGTACATTTATGTTCAAGTTTCACAGTCATTTAATAGTTGAAGCTTTATAACATGTTTAAATAGCCAATATGGGTAGTGCTAGCTTATTGCTCTTCTTTTTTGAAGTTTTCCTGACAGTATGTATTTATTTTTCTATAAAAACTTTAAAGTTAGGCATATTTTAAAATCAGTGTTAGATTAGTTTTAAAATTAATTTTGGGTGAAATGCAGTGGCTCATACCTGTAATTCCAGCACTTTGGAAGGCTGAGGCGGGAGGATCTCATGAGTCCAAGAGTTTAAGACCAGCCTGGGCAACATAGAGAGGCCTTGTCTCTTTAAGAAATTAAAAAATTATCCAAGTGTGGTGACATGTATTTCTAGTCCCAGATATGCAAGAGGCTAAGGTGAGAGAGTCACCTCAGCTTGGGAGGGTGAGGCTGCAGTGAGCCATGATAGTGCCACTGCACTACAGCCTGGGTGACACAGCAAGACCTCATCTCGAAAAATAATAAATAAATTAATAAAATTAACTTTAGGAGAATAGATATTTTATAATGTTGAGTCTCTCTAGATAAGAATATGCTATCGTAGAGAAGGCAAAACTTCTCCTCTATCCTCTTAGGGTCTCCACCAGGCCTGAGAATTAAGTTGATGTAAAACAGATTAACAGAAAAGCACACAGATTTTATTTTAACAAGTACATGGGAGCCTTCACAGGAAAATGAAGACCCCAAAAGTGGTCTTTGTACAAAGTTTCATTGTATAGGTTTCTCTTGGCCTTGACTTCCTGCCTCTGGTGATAAGAGTGTTGTTTTCCTTCAGGTATAGGGAAGGTATCTTTCCCATGAGAGTTTCATCTCCTGCCTTCAGGAGGAATAGGGGAGGTCAGAGTGTCCTTCCTGCATCTTGCTGTGTTTCAAGTGCCTTCAACTCAAAAAACAATCTTTATGCCAAAGTGGTCTATTTTGGCATATTCTGCTACCCTTTGCTATGCTTTTCTCTGGCCATCTTAGTCTTTTTTTTTTCTTGCTTCTCCATGAGTGTTTCAGCTTTTCTCACATTGATTCTGTATTTCTTGAAGAGTTTAAACCTCTGTCCAAAACAAAAAAAATTTTTGTTGTTGTTTTAAATGGTTATTTATCCATTTTATATTGTAACTAGTTTATCTATCTATCTATCTATCATCTATGTATCTATCTATCTATCTATCATCTATGTATGTATGTATGTATGTATCTATCTATCTATCATCGGTCTCCTATCTTCTGTTGACTTCTGCAGGTTAGTTTGGTATCTCAGCTAACTCTAAATTCTTTTATTATGTATTAGTACATTCTCAGGATGCTATGAAGAGATACCTAAGACTGGATAATTTATAAAGAAAAGAGGTTTAATTTACTCAAAGTTCCACATGGCTGGGAAGGCCTCAGGAAACTTACAATCATGAAAGAAGGCAAAGGGGAAGAAAGGCACCCTCTTCACATGGCAGCAGGAAGGAGAAGTGTTGGGTAAAAGGGGAAAAGCCCCTAATAAAACCATCAGACCTCATGAGAACTCACTATCATGAGAACAGCACTGGGGTAACCGCCCCATGATTCTATTACCTCCCACTAGGTTCTTCCCACAACACATGGGGATTATGGGAACTACAATTCAATATGAGTTTTGGGTGGGGACTCACCCAAACCATGTCATGTTATTTGTGAAAATTTTAAAAAATTCTTTCAGTTGAATTCTCTTAGGATTACTTGGTTTGTAACCACATCATTTCCATGATTCTTTTACCTCCTACTTTCCAATTTTTAGATTTCCAATTTATTTTTCTTGTCTACTTATGTTAGTTAATTGTGTCAGTCAGGATTTATGTGGAGAAATAGAATAGCAGGATTTATTGTAAGGACCTGACTTGACAGGTGTGGGAGATGGTTAAATGGTGTGTATAGGAGGCTGTTCCTTCAGTGTCTGTTGCTGTGGCCTGAAGTCAGCAAGGCAGGGAGTCAGGAAGGGAAGACAGACATGAACTGAGTGCTTCAAGGACAGACTGGACCCCGCAAAGATGAGTGAGTAGAACCCACCATTGTAGACTGGAATTCATCTTGTTTTTTCACTGCTCCTTAGCCTTCAACTTCAAAAATGGGTAGGTCCTGTAGAAGTTGTCCTTTGTCATGGTGCTAATGTACCTGGATCAGAAGCCAGGGTACATGAAGGAGGAGATCCTGCAGGAGCTGGCTCTGCTGTGGCCTAGTTGAGCCCTCTGCCAACAAAGTGATAGACCAGAGAAACAGCAGGGCTTGTGAACTGCAGTCACATCCTGTGCTCTGCTCTGACCTTTCTAGCATATGGAGCATGGCTCTGCTAATTCACATGTAGTGTCTTTTATGGGCCATACTTAACGTGGCATTATGCATGGAAGAGAATTCTGAAAAACGTAATTACAGCTCAGCTAAGTTGAAACAACACAAATCTACCACAGCTCACCCCTTGTCAAATTTGATATTTGTATTTACTAGTCTTAACCATACTTAGCTTAATTTGCAAATAAAGCCTATAGCAAAATAATACTCACATTTTACATAATGCAACTATCCTTCATACACCTGAAAACATGGACATCCTCTTTCCAAAAGAGAATTTCCTTTGAGCTCAGTCATATCTTCCCTTTGATATTCTATAACTTAATATTGAGATGTAAGCTAAGCCACTACTAACACATCTTATACAGTAGGGGAAGGAAAAGAGTAAAGAGGAAATAGTTAATATAATATCTATTTATATTAAAATAAGAAAGAAATAGTCATAACTTTTATGTCCTTATTTATGCATCTGATCATGTGTTTGTAGCAGGTATTTGTAACTACATGTTTCTGTTACTCATTCCATATTCTCTTTGCCTTCAGCAAGCACTTCATCTGACGTTGGTTCCTTGCCCAATGGGGTCACCTAAACCTTTATTCTTGAATGGTCTGGGCCATCAGCAGTCCTGCCTGATTTGGGTTGTTGTAATTTTCACTGATTTTAATTACAGGGCATGGGAGTATGAAGAGGTGCCCTAGGGAATCTCCTGCATTCCAGACATACTCATTTTTACCACCACTGTGCAAAATCTAAGTTTTCCCTTCATTCTCAAGGGTTAGTCACTCCAACCATCAGAGTAGGCTCCTTCTTTGCCTTTCATTCACTTGCATGAGGGTCCAGAGTTGACAGGTCTCAACTTCAAGCTTAATTTAGGGTTTTCAGGTAAAATACAGGATGCCCAGTTAAATTTGATTTTCAGATAAAAACAAATAATTTTAGTGTATGTTCCATGTGATATTTGGATCACGCTTAAACTAAAAAAATGTTCACTGTTTACATGAAATTCACATTTCACTAAATTCACATTTAACTGTATTTTTATTTGCTAAATCTGGCAACTCTAATTTTTGGAACTCTTGCTGTGTTCTATGGTAGAAACATTCCTCTATTGGAGACTTCCAAACTGACTGGGCCAGGCACAGTGGCTCA